GCTCCCCAGCATCAGCCAGACCAATAGCGTCGATGTAGTGGTTAAAACGATTCTTGTATGACTCCCACTTTTCTTCTTCCGGCTTGAACGGTGGGAAGGCTGGGTTGGAGTTCATGATGAGGACTTCTGCAAGTTATGCTGTTGTGAAATCTCTCTGGGACAACAAAATGGCACTATGTGCTCTTGTCGGGCTAGTGACTACAGCTTTGGAGAGGCTCCACAGAACCTCTCTCCTCTCTCTCTGGGCTACAATTGTGGCTAAGCTGCAACAGCTGTTGGCAGCATTTTGAAATTCGTGCTCCTGGAGAGCGTAGGCGGTAATGGCTTGCCGCCTCTGATAGCGCTTCGAATTTCGCGCCTGCGTAAACGTCAGTGACTCGGAATAACAGCACCGCGCTGTATTCCGGCAAGAAATCCAAACGACAGCCATTTGAATTTCGCGCTCTTTTTGTGTTGAGCGGCTGCGGCTCGCAGCGCTTCACTTTCCCCTGTAGCTGGCTAACCAAGCGGCTACAGACGCTTATTACTTTCGCTTTTGCTGACCGAGCTCTCCGGCGGCGCGGCTGCGGCTCAGCGGTTTTAGTGATTTCAGCTGTTGCAGATTGCCTCTGGTAGCCATCCCATCCTCGTCGCCAGTGTTGTAGTTGAGCAATGAGAGGCTAGACCAGGGCATGGATGCAACAAGACTTTATTGTAACAATAAAGGACTGAACGCGTTAGCTCTGCCTGGAGCAGGCTCACAGCGATCAGCAACTGGCCGGACCCTGCAGCTGGCTTTTATAGCCGGCCAACGAGGGAGGCCAGCCAATGAGGGGCAGCAAACGCCCCCGCAGCATGAACGGACCTGGGTGGGGACTTTGGCAAGTTCCAGGGACATAACAGAAACTGAAAGAGTATTTGCTGTGTGAGCAAGAAGGAGACAGCAAGGAGCCTGGGCATGACTTAGCTGAACTGTCCTGGACTAAAACTGCCTGGGGCTGTGAAACTTAAACTGAAACTCCTCTCCTCTGCTTCTGTTTTTCATTTGGAGCAGATTTCTTTTCAGGTGGGGAGGGGGAGTAGAACTGAAAGAGTATTTGCTGTGTGAGCAAGAAGGAGACAGCAAGGAGCCTGGGTGTGGCTTAACTCAACTGTTCTGTACTAAAGCTGCTTGGTGCTGTGAAACTGAAACTGAAACTCCTCTCCTCTGCTTGGGTTTTGCATTTGGAACAGATTTCTTTTCAGGTGGGAAGGGAGAATATAGCTCAATTCTGGTTTGTACATTGTCAGACTGCATAATTTGCAACAACTACAGCATGACTCAGCCAGTAGATGGCAGTGTTTGTAGGCTCGCTAGGTATAATCTATGCTCTATGCTCTATGGTCTTTTTGTTCAAAAGAGAGTTTCTGTTATAGTGACAATTAAAACAGTTAAGTAGCAAGTCCACAGTGACAAGCAAGGGACTTTTTCATTCTCCAGGGCTACCCAAAACAGAATTTCTAACACAAATCAAAATGAATTCCTGCCAAATGTTGTTGAGCGGTGGACACCTTCATAACCGTAATTGTTTGTAAAACAATGGTAAGAACTGTTCTTCGCAGGGGCTGTTTTAAAAAAGGATGCTATTTTCCCCAAAGCAGTTTCTCACCTGTGCCCTGATGCACATGTTTGGTGCTGGATAATTCCTTGGAATGAAGAAACTGACGGCATCGACCAGAAGTGGAAGTCAGCTGGACTGGTTCGGGCAAACCGGTAGTTCCGGTGATCATTTGACCCTGTCCACCCGCTTCTGCCCTACTCTGTGATTTCCATGTTTTTGTTGTGGTTAGCCAGCAGCAGGTGTGGATGGCTGAGGAGAGTGAGGGCTCAGATGAGGGGCCAGGACCATTAGGGAGTGGACTGCTGCCTTCAGAGACTGTGGGGGCTGGCAGCAGCAATGAGGAGCCTGTGCCAAGTGCGCATGCACGCAGGGTTGCTTGCAGGAAAGAGCATCTGCAGCAGCACAGGCGATTCGGGAGTAAGGCTGAAAGGTAATGGCCCCTCCTTCAAGAAGATAAAAGCCAACTGTGAAACAAACATCTTTGCAGAAGGCAAAGACATTTTGAAACTCCAGCCTCGTGGACATTCTAGTATCCTGAGTTTATATTTGAAGATTCTTGTACTGCAAATTATTTCTTGTCTGTTATCTTTTGACAAGTCTTGCACAGTTTGGCAAGGCTTGTGCTTATCACAGTTAATTATTTTGCAAAAGCATTACAAGGTTTTTGTTCCTTTTGGATTGTGTTTGATTTGTTGGAAAAGGGAGTGGGTCAGGACACTTTTGCAGCTCAGCTGATTAGTGCAGCACCTCAGCTGTTTTACTCAGTGGGGCTGCAGTAGAAGGTAAGTATTAGAACTGGACAGGGGCTGTTTTCAAGTTCTGCATGCGCTCATCGAACCGGTTGTTACACCGGTTGAATCCCACCCCTGGCATCGACCAAAATGTTTGCTTTCTTCCTTTTCTATCTTCCTCCCTCCGCCGACCAGGGACCTGGCATGGATAATGTTTTGACTGTCCGCTGTCTTTCCAAGGGGCGCATATGGAGAGCGGTCAGAAAAGTCCAGAAGGAACATGTGATGACGCAGGGCATGGCACAAAGGCAACACAGTCCGATAATCAGCAGGAGTCCCTTTATTAGCTCCAACTTCACCCCCAATGTCCAGGTTACCTTCTGGGCTGGAGAAAAACTCTCCCAGGAACAGCCTTTGGCTGCAGAGAATCAAGTCCAAAAGGTGGTCAACAAAAACTGTAACTATAAGTCCAATCAAGGCAAAATGAGGTAATTAGTCTGGCAGGGCAAGAGAAGGAATTCCAGATGTGAAGGAATGGCAGTAACTCAACACGGTTGGGGAAGATGCTAAGAATGCAGATAAGCAAAGTCAATACAAGATAAAGTCACGTTTGCTACCAGCAGCTGTAGCACTCAGCTTGCATCTCTTTTAAATTCTCATTCCCAGCTGTGGCTAATGAAGGGAATCAGGGCCCTTTCCTCCCCCATAAGCCATGCAACCCACGTTGCTCCCTTCTCCGTTCCTCCCTGCATGCCCTAGGATGAAGAAGGGCTGGGCCTGGGTCTTCCTCTGAACTCCCTCTCCCTTGTTCTACCTCATCCCTTGCTCTGCCCAGTTGGACTTTGCCCTTCCCCAATTTCCTCCACAGCCAATGGAGCCACTCTCCCATGCCCTGTCAGCTGTTTGTCTTCCTCCTCTGATTCAGACTCCAACGGGGGCATGACAGAACGCGATCAATATTTTATCTTGCTTTCATACTCCGGGTGGGATCCCTTATTCAGAAAGAATCATCCACAAACAACGACAAAACTCATGAAGAGAAGAATGTGAAGGAATCTTCTGGCGTCGGAAACTTCATTATTTAGCAGCCCAGTGAAGGCAGCTTGGTCCCAGTACCGAAAGGCAGGTTCTCTATGGATGCAGAAAAGAGCCAGCAGGCCAGTTGGGTGCCTCTTAACGTAAGATTGACGGCTTCTTCTGCAGCGTAAGACAGGCCCGTGGTGAATACAAGGCTGACATTCTGGAACCCAGCAGAAAGCCCATCTCATCCAGGTGTTTAAAAAGGCTGTTTCCTGCTAGGCTGTCACCCAGCTCACCTTAGAGGTGATGTGCCTTTTAAACATTTGAAGCAGCTGAATCAGGCAATGGGGTTGCTCACTCACACAAGGCAACTGTAAGGCGGCCTAAGCCAGTTCCCCAAGGAAAGCCAGAGACAACCAGAGGCAATCAGCCTCAGAAAAGCAGAGACAATTAATTTTTTTGCAGTTTATTACCAATTCTGAATTACTACCAACCTGCCTTCCATTGAGGACCTGTATACTGTATATATCTATCTATATGTCTAAACAGGTAGCATCTGGAATGCTTCTCCCTCCCTCCCTCTCATATCTATCTGTCTGTCCATCCATCTATCTATCTGTCTGTCTGTCTATCTATCTATTAAGAACAAATGAAGTTATTATTACCAAACAATTCTTAATGTCATGTCAAATCTATCTATCTCTATCTATCTCTATCTATCTATCATCTATCTATCTATCTATCTATCTATCTATCTATCTATCTATCTATCTATCTATCTATCTATCTCTTTTATCTAAAAGGAAGAAATAAAGTTTTTATTATTACCAAACAATTCTTAATGTCATGTCAAATCTCTCTCTCTCTCCCTCTCCCTCTCTCCTCCCCCTCTCATTTTCTATCTAAAAAGAACATGAAGTTTTTATTATTGCCAAATCATTTTTAATGTCATGTCAAATCTACCTACCTACCTACCCTAAGTACCTCCTGGCCACCAGCCTAGGATAATTTGAGGCTAAACGCTGGGCACAATGAAGACGATCTCAAACCCACTAATCTAAATCTTAATTGAGATTTTTTTTTCCTTTTGGTATTTTGTGCAGTGTTCATCGACTTCAACTACACTCCACACTATCTATGTCAAAAGTTATAAATGCAAAAGGAAAAAAAAAACCTGCTTTGGAGATTCGTGCAAACCCTTGGCTGGGCTGGGCGAAGGCTAATCCTTCCGAGAGGGAAATCAGTTAGGCCCAGCCACCAGAAGAGCCCTGAACGGCTTCGGGACTTTTCTCTGCATGAATGGCCATGGGAGATGGATGGGCACAGGAAGGATGGATGGGGAAAAAGGATAAATGGGGAGGAAGGAGAGAATGAGCGAAAGGAGAGGAGAGGAGAGGAGAGGAGAGGGGGGCCAACCTGCACCCTCCCCAGCTCTTCAGTTGCAAATTCTGTGTCTGTGTGTGTGTGCGCGCACGCGCGCGCTGAGACCACTTCGACTCAGACTCCACTTTTCCGACCCCAAGGAAAGGGGGCCCTCGGTCCCGGGACTCCAGGGCGCTCTGCACAAGCTCAGAGGGGCACCTGTTCCGACTTCAGCCCAGAGCCTCGGGCGGAAGAGCGAGGACGGGCCGGGCCAGGTGGCGCACCTGCCGCGCCCCTCCCCGCTTCCTCCTTCACCTGTCCACGAAGCAGGATTTCCTCCTCCGCCCCCGGGCGAGCCGAGTCCCGCGGGCAAGAGCCATGGACAGCGCCGCGGCCGCCCGATCCCTGCTCAGCCTCTGCCTACTGCTTTGGGTGAGTCACTGGCCGAACCCGCCGAACCCCGCCGTATCCTCTTCCTTTTTGCCCCAAGGTCTCGCCTGGCCTCCCGTTGGGTCCGTTTGCATGGATTCCGGCTGCGGAATCCGTGTCGAATTGAGAATGAATGAGCTGGAAGGGGCCTTGGAGGTCGTCTAGTCCAGCCCCCTGCTCAAGCAGGAGAACCTATACAATTTCATATAAGTGACTGTCTAGAATCTTTTTAAAATCCTCCAGCGATGGAGCACCCACCATTTCTAGTGGCAAGCTGTTCCCCTGGTTAATTGTCCTCACCATTAGGAAGTTTCTCGTTCATTCCAGGTTGCTTCTCTCCTTGGTTAGTTTCCATCCGTTGCTTCTTATCCTGCCTTCTTGGTGCTTTGGAGAATAATCGGACCCCCTCTTCTGTTGGGGCAGCCCCTCAAATACTGGAAGACAGCTATCATGTCCCCCCTAGTCCTTCTTTTCTCTAGACTAGCCAAACACAATGCTTGCAGTTGTTCTTCCTATATTCTAGTCTCCAGGCCTTTAATCATCTTAGCTGCTCTTCTCTGCACTTTTTCCAAAGTCTCAACATCTTTTTGGTAGTGTGGTGACCAAAATTGGATGCAGTATTTCAAATGTGGTCTTTGTTAAGGGTTTATAAAGCGGTTCTAACAATTCATGTGATTTTGATTCTATGCCTCTGTTTATACAATCCAGGATTGTATTAGCCTCTTTGGCTGCTGCTGCACGAGGTTGGCTTAAGTTTAAGGGATCACCCACTAAGACTGCAAGGTCCCTCTCATGGTTCCTGTTTTTGAGCCAGGTCTCACCTGATCTGGACTTATACCTTTGATTTTTCCTGCTCCTTCTCCCATTAATTAATTCTATTAATTGTTAGTATTAATAAGTTTTTAATTAATGACTTTCCAACATGACTTTCATGGCTAAGGCCGGACTAGAACTCACCGTCTCCTGGTGATTGGCCCAAAGTCACCCAGCTGCCTTTCCTGCTTAAGGTGGGACTAGAACTCGCTGTCTCCTGGCGATTGGCCCAAAGTCACCAACTGGCTTTCATGTCTAAGGCGGGACTAGAACTCACCGTCTCCTGGTGATTGGCCCAAAGTCACACGGCTGCCTTTCCTGCTTAAGGCGGGACTAGAACTCACCGTCTCCTGGTGATTGGCTCGAAGTCACCCAGCTGGATTTCATGGCTAAGGAGGAACTAGATCTCACTGTCTTTCCATTTCGAGACTGGTGCCTTAACCACCAGATCCAACTGTCACACCAACCAAGTGCCAACAACTATTGAAAAGCTTAGCCTGGAAGCATCCTTTATAAGCATATAAATTCAATGAAATGAATGCGTAACTTGGCAAAAAGGTCCAAGAGACAATGGCTTCTATCAGTGGTGGGATACAATTTTTTTTACTACTGGTTCTGTGGGCGTGGCTTGGTGGGCATGGCTTAGTGGCATGGCAGGGGAAGGATACTGCAAAATACCCATTCCCTCCCCACTCCTGGGGGAAGGTTACTCCAAAAGCCCCATTTCCACTCCACCCCACTAACCTGCTTTCCAGCTCTGTTCTCCTGTGCAGGGCAACCAAAGAAGACCCAGCCGATCAGCTGGGACTCAGGAGACAGAGAAGAGATGGGGGCGGGGCCAGTCAGAGGTGGGATTTTCCGGTTCTCCAAACTATTCAAAATTTCTCTATTGGTTCTTCAAAACTGGTCTGAACCGGCTGAATACCACCTCTGGCTTTTATAAAATCATTAAAAACAACTCCTTAAGCTGGTCTGGAGCCTTAAGGTGAAATCCAACAATTCTTCTTTTTCTCCCTTTAGAAAAGCGGGATAACGTTTGGGCGGGAAACCTGGCTGACCACGCCAATAACTCCGGAGATTCAACGCCAGACATTTTCCGAGGATTATATTCACCTGAACGTTCAGGACAAAACGTTGCGCAATAGCGTTGGCATTTCGGTGTCCTATTTCTGCTCAAAGCCCTGCGTCGTAACTTTGGAAGCGAAAGCCTCCTTGGAATCCAGGAACAGCATGTCGGTGTACAAGAAACGATGGGAAGGTGGTCACGTCCGGACGAATCGAACCGTCAGCTTGACGTTCCCCAATAGTATGGTCTTCAGAGACGATTATCTGATCAAGCGATCATTAAATGTAGACTATGTGATTCTCTATGTCTGGATTACTCACAAGGAGGCCATGGTGCACCATGCTCCACAAGCAGAAAGCTACTGGCATGCCATTGTACGGGATTACAGTTTTTTGGATCCGGTTCCACCTTTCGAGCGTCCCTACAAGGAACATAACAGGTGCTTGACGTGGAACACGGAACAGGCATGGAAACGCCAAGCCAACAGGATACCTCGGTGTCCTCACGAAAATGGTACGGATGCACGGATTCCTTCTCACTGGCAACCCCATTGCGAGTTTGCAGCAATTGGGTACAGGGTAGCTTTCAACTCAGAAAACATTTCTATGGTCTTTTTAGAGTTGCCAACCAAAAGGGAGAGGGAAAAGGGGTTTGAAAGAGCAGTGCGGCAGCTTGGAAATTGAAAGTGCATTCCACATATAGTTTTTCAGAGATAGTAACTAGGTGACTGAAGTTTCTGCCATGCAAAACTCTAACTGGAGAGCATGATTGAGGACTCTGGGCTATGGATGCGTCCCATTGGAGACTATGAATTATGGTACACCCAGAGGGATGGGAGAAAACCAGGGTCAAAGGTGACAGTGAATTATGTGTCTCAGAGTCGGCTACACCCAGGCAATGCTGACACGTTAACTCCCAAATAAATCCTTTTGAGGTTTTGGAAGTTTGGCTCTAGACTCATGATTTAATTGGTGTAACTGCTGGAATCATGACAGCTAGCCGACTCAGAGGCAGAGGTGGGGCCAGGGCCATCTGACAGTTATCAGCTGCCTTCGGAGTCAGAGATTGGTGGGGAAGAAGAACAGCTGGAGCCTGTTCCCAGTGTACGCATGCACAGAGTTGCCAGAAGAAGGGAACAGCTAAGGAACAAGGGTCAACTTGGGAGTAAGGGCACAGGTGGACGGTGAATGGCCCCTCCCATAGGGAATAAAGAGGAGCAAAAGGGGAGTGGGTTTTGCAGGAGACAATTACTTCAATTCATTAGAGTTCCTGACTTCTCGCCAAGTAATTCCTGCTACAGTGTGGTGTTAGGAAGCTATCTGCCTGGTAACTCTCCAAGCCTGATAAAGGTCTGTAGTTGTGAAATCTCATGAAAGACTGTTTGTCAGGACTTTGCTGGAGAGGCATTCCCTTTAACCTAAATAAAAGGGGTTTTATCAGGACAAGGAGTCGGCTTCATGATCTTGGGAAGCCCAGGTCAGAACAAGACCCAAATTGGGGACAACCGTTATATATCCAATTCTCACAACCGTCAGAGCCATAGTCACAGGATCAGAATTTGGGTGCTCGTCAGTTGGCATGATGGTTGCAGAATCCCAGGGTCACCTGGTCCCCATTTGCCACCTTCCCAGCCAGTTCCTCAAAAGCAAAGTCAGTGAAGGAGCCTGGATTCACTCAACGACTGCACGGTCCCCTTAACAATGGCAGTGTTTCATCAAAGAACGGAGTGAGAATATTAGCGAAAGAATTCTTGAGGGTTTGTTTTGTCCCGTCCCCGCCGCAAAACCAATCAAAATGACACGGAAAGTATTAGTTCCCTCAATTGCATTAAGAAGGGTCTTATTTTTTTCACAGACCTGATGGAGATCAACTTTCCATATGCATCTAGCGGAGAGGGGACAGGAATTGTGAAGAAGTTTCAGAAGTTTAAAAACCGAGAGCTTGAAGCCATCCGGAAACATCACCTTAGTTATCCAACGTAAGCCATTCCCTAAGGATAAATCATTTTTATTCTTTTCTCTGAAATGTGTATAGGCTCTATAGGGGAGCTGTGTGTGGCCCCCACGGGCTCCGTTTTCGCTGGCAGAGGGCTAGCAAAACAAACTAAAAACAAAACCAAAAAGGAGAAATGTTTCCTCTTTGCATTTGAGCAGGCAAGAAGGGACAGGAAAGGAAAAAAAGGGAATGTGGAAAGAGAAAGAAAAAGAAGGAAAGAGGGGAAGAGAGCAAGGAAGGAAAAAGAAGGAAAGAGGGGAAGGAAAAAGAAAGGAGAAGGAAGAGGGAAGGAAAAAAGAAGGAAAGGAAGGAAGAAGAAGAAAAGGAAGGAAGGGAGAAGGAAGGAAGGAAGGAAGGAAGGAAGGAAGGAAGGAGGAAGGAAGGAAGGAGGAAGGAAGGAAGGAAGGAAGGAAGGAAGGAAGGAAGGAAGGAAGG